TTATAAAGCGGATTTCGCGGTAATTGGGAAACGAATGGGGACACTGTACTGGTAAATTTGCGAACTTTAATTGAATGTAAAGTTTAGAGGATCCCGGACTGCTGGAATAAATAGATTTCGGTTTTCGATTCAGATCATACGTGGAAGTTCGTTCGAAAGTTACAAAATTACATCTAACAAACTTCGAATGTTTAGAATAAACGCCGTAATAATGTCGCGGCGGTCATTAAAAAGTTATTAATTTCGCCATTACCTCACCTAATTGTATCGATTAGATTTTCGGATAGGACGAAACTGGGAATAATTCCGCCCGGATTCAATTCGCTCGAGTTAACTCGGACAGGACAAGATATACGGATTATTCTTGCTCCGTCTATTTTGCTACGGTTGTCCTAGTGTTTCATTTTTCCCTCGGAAATTAGGTCATCGCAGAGAGGGGCAGAAGAAAGATGAAAAGCCGTATACGAGTTAAAAATTGGACTGCGGATTCGTTACTCATACGAGGATAAGAAATCGCGGTCGGGCAGACGTCGATATTTCGCATAAATAATTCTCCTGTCTTTAAAAACCCTCGTCTTTAAACATCATGAGTAGTGAAGATGGATATTTCATATCTATAAAGTTTTGTGGGGGAAATTTTAAGTGTCTTTCTATAAAATCTTTATGATTTTCCATTAAATTTATCCCCCTTAAAATCATTTTTCAACTCAAGATGGACCATTCTCATCGGTTATTCATTTTAAACAAAAAAATTCCAACAATAATAGGTATTTCTTATTATTCTGTGGTTTATAGGTAAATACATGCAGAGAATTATCTTTATTTTAAAGATTTTACTACACTTAAAATTATTAAAAAATCATTAAATGTTTCTGCTAATGAGTTCCGTATTTAATTTAGATTTTATTAATCGATTACCTCTACGTTTTCAATATTTTTTCCGATTAACTTTAATTCAATTTTCACATAATTCAGCTACCGATAGAAATTTTAATCAAAAATTTAAACATCAGCCTGTACTTATTGGTACAAATTTATTGTTGGTCTATTCATGTTAAAGTGCTCGTTCGTAAGTGCATAAATTGGTCAATAAATAAAGAGAATCATTGAAAGAATCATATTTTATTCGGTCGGTGCCGGCATTCAATCGATTTTAGACCATTAGAAATCAAATTATCTATCGGAAAGGTCACCGTCTGGCCTATTAACAATTTCGGATCGACCCGGCCAGACATCATGCACGTTTATCACGTAATAATAATAGATTTAACCGAACAATATATCGTAATAGTCCGGAATGACGAGGCATTTGAATTTGTAAGTTACGTACAACACGAAGTGCGCCAGTTATTGATTACGTTATTTATATGAGTTATAAACTCCGGCGTCATTCCATTACGTATTCGATAATATTTACCTACGTTTAAATCATTAACTATGTATTAGGAAGGTATTGTTCGATTTTTTTATTTTTAGGGTTGGTTTAATACCGATTATATGCAAATTGCGGTTTTATTTTACCGCCCATACTTCGTACGTTCGTTATCATTTTTTAAAGTTAGTGCTTTTTTTCAAGTTAACACTGCAGGCGAGCAATTCTCGAGCGAATATTTGTAGAATAACCACCAGCTCTATTCCCTTTATTACTTCGCTTTTTTTACTCTTTATAAAATTTAAACCCCGATTAAAGTTGAGTTTTATCTCAAACTGTTGTTAAGATAAAAAAAGTATTTTTGAGCACCCTTGTATCTCACTAATAAGGTAATTGATTGATGTGTGAGTAGAATATAATATTTATCGGCGATATAAAAATTTCAATAAAATTTCTGGCGATTTTAATGGCTGAAATGTGTGAAAAATGGGATTTTATATTCAAGTACGAACTGGAGCTTTTCGATGGGAGGTAATAAATTTATTCCGGTTTAAAGAAATAAAATGCGGTTTTCGTGTATTTCGTAAGGAGAAAATCGTGTTCACCAGAAAAATAGTACGATTTGTTTCCATGGAAAAGTGAAAAATGGACGAATATACACTTTAAAAAAGCTAATATAAAGTTTAAGCTTGAGATGAAACTACACCATTTCCAGTTGTATTTCGGAAGCTATCAAATTAATTTCAGAATCAATCAAATGCATTTCAGACTAGTCAGATTAATTTTAGAAAGTGTTAAATGTATTTCAGAATAATCAAATGTACTTCAGACTAGTCAAACGTATTTCAGATAGCATCAAATACATTTCAGAACAGTCATATTTTTTTCAGAAGGCGTCAAATGTATTTCAGATTAGTCAAATGTATTTCAGATTTGCCAGATTTATTTCAGAAAGCGTCATATGTATTTCAGAATAGTCAAATGTAGTTGTGAAAATGTTAAATGTATTTCAGACTACATAGTGGAATGCAGAAAATCATATCCAAAGGGTAAGGGGGAGGAAGGGAAATCTGACTATTCTGAACTGCATGTGACTATTCTGAATGGTTTTTCTAAACGACATTTGATATATTCCGAACTACATATGACTAATCTAAAAAACATTTGACGCTATCTGAAATAAATCTGACTATTCTGAAATACATTTGACGTTGTCTGAAATACATTTGGCTATTCTGAACTACATTTAACTAATCTGAAATTCGTTTGACGTTTTCTGATATAAATCTGACTATTCTGAAATACATTTAATGCTTTCTAATATACATCTGGAAAAGGTGTAGTGGTTTGATTAATTTTATTCTCTCGGGTTGTAAATTTTATTTTATAATCAAACGTTTTTAACATTCCGAATTTTTACAACGGTTTTATATCTATTCGAGATATGGAGATTGTTAATTTTAATTAACTGTACAAATTTCTGTTTTATTACCGTCCATTCTAACTCATTTTTATAGTTTAAAATTACCATTTTTCACTTTCCCTATAAAATAACAACAAGATCCCTTCATTCAATCACCTAATTAAGCCGAGACATAATTAATACACCTTTTGTAATACAGAAGCGTAAAATTTGTTATTGCCATCCGAATGGAATCAACTTCTTCCACTTCTAAATAATAAACCGATTTACCCGACGGGAAACACAATAAAATTACAACTCGCCGAATTAATTATTGATGAATAAATTTCGACTCGAAACGGCGATTAATTTGCAATTTTTTGAGCAAATGTAGCGTGAAAAAAATCGCGAATTATTCATCAAGTCCGTCCGTTTTCGTTTGTAATGATACGCCGCAAAAAAAGCTCCTTCGCTTTCGGCGGAAAAAACACCCGTACAGAAACGAATTTAACAGGTGTGGGCGCGACTCGAATTTTCATTCCTACGAAAAAACATTTAAATAAACCCCCCCGCCTTCGAGCCGGAAAACTCCCGAATTTTCCACGCTCGCCCGCGGGATGTTTACGATTAAAAATAATAATTTCATTCGAGTTTGTGCGACTGTTTTAATAAATTCGACTCGTATTCGAGGTTCGCATACCTGCATGTGAGTAAAATATGGCCTTTTCCGTTAAATGCCTTTTTTTATCTGCATAACACTCGACGTGTGTGTTAATTTAAAACGTATACGAAGACCCGGCCGCATTTGCATTCGCTCGGAATTGCAACTCGTTTTTCGCACTCGCAGCTAATCTATTTCGCTTTTATTGGCGGAAGGACAAAAAGAGGCGCATTCGCGTTTCAGGAAGAGAAAAATATGAAAATAATGGTTTCGGTGTGTCAAGGGAGACAATTTAATTAGCCCGAACAACACCTGCCCGAAGACTATCAACTTTCATATCTCTCGCCGGAGTTTTCGACGTGGATATATGCGCCGGCCGCTTTACGAATTACGCCGGAATTTATTCAAATTAGCTGGTCAAATAATAGATGTATCGAAATTGAAATTTTTTATACGCAAAAGAGCTTTTCTTTAGTATGTAAATTTGAGCTGAAGCGCCCGCACTGTAAATAATTAAATAGTCGAGAGGCATAAATTACTTACTTTTTTAATTACATACAGAAGTTGAATCAAGAAAATACCTGCTTTTGTCATCGTACAATATAAGAGAGGGAATAAATAAAAATACATAGGTATTCATAATTCTCCTTCCTATGAGGACAAAAAGCCTGCTATATTTCTATACATTTTCATAAAACTCGGGTAAAAAGGAAAAACCGAGTTCGTGTTTAGAGTACAGAGAAAATTTGGGAGATAATGGTGACCCAGATTAAAAGCCGAAAAATTCAACATGTATTTTGATAAAAAATATAAACTCGAAATATATGTACACTTTTTCCAGACCGTATATTTATCATCATTAATTTAGTTAATTTGGCCCCTTTACTATTCAACTATTTATAGTAAGACAGCTCCGGCTGCAATTTACATATTATTAGCGCCATTAGCGTTGTGTTTAACAAAAAAAAAAAACTATAGCGTGCTTTTGATGCGACGTCTATTATTTGATCCTTTCAATTAGGGAAATGCACGTAATGTCTGCAAACAGAAAATCATTCTTTCTTTCCACGGTTCATTAAAGAGAAACGAATCGACTTTCGATTTAAAGAACAAACTCGGCTCTACTTTCTTCATTTCCAGGACGAATTAGGATATTGGAATTTGAAATTTCCCTATTAATAATGATTAATAATGACGAGCATGCACGAATGCTCGTTACTATTGTTTGGGGAAAGATGTATCCTAATGAGGGCAAATAATTATTCAATCCCTTATAATTTTGTTGATCAATTTAAACCGTCTAGTCTAGACTGTTTAGAGCAATGTAATTAAATCGTTTTGTTTGATTTTGAATTACAACCGAGCCTTTGATTATATACACACATGTAATTCCATACCTATAAAGATTAAATTTAAGTGCTAAATCCGAGTGAGCACACGAATATATTTTTGTATACGAGTACATACAAGATAAATGTAGCGATTATATTAGATATTATTTATAGATTATATGTATAGCACTGATAATGTAAATAAACTAATTTATCTTATCTGTTGATAGTCTGACCGCGCAAATTTATGCGAAAAATATCGAGCATGTGTGAAATCAACTTTCGCATTATTATAAACAAATTAAAGTGTATCAGTATTTAATTATTTGTGTAGACAATGAGAAATGTTTGTTGTTGCAGAAGTGTCTATGATGATATGGAGGTAAAGACGTCCTCTTGCCTAGAATGAGCCCGACGAAGACAGAAAGCAAAAGGGGATGCGTCCGACCGCCTCATTTCGATATACTGTAAGTACAAATCGAATTTACCAATCTCTAGGTACTCGTTGCTCTCATAAAATACGCTATATCCTGCAATTATTTCATTCGCTAATCGTATCGATTTGTATTGATTTCTTCGAGTAAACTCGGGATTTTTAGTTAGAATAAGAACTAGAAGAATGATTTTATAGCCGCAAGTGAGGCAATCAGTTAGCGACCCTTGCAGCTTTATACAATATGGACGCGAAATTAGCGGAAAAAAAGTAATTATCGTCGAATCTCGGTGCCTTCGGAAAAGGACTGTCGAGTGAAGTGGCCGGAAAGTTGAGCGAAAACGGCCGAGAAGTCGGAGATTTAATGGGTTGACGGTTGTGTATAAAGCAAATTGTGCGGCTTCGAAGGGCTATTATCTCGAGAACTCTGAGCTTATCTTTGCGCCCAAGACGAATTATCAAAACGGGCCCGACCCGGAAATTTATGCCGCCAGGATTTCGACAATTACTCATTTTTGTACGCTCTGAATTTCGAATTGTTTACTTCGATTCGACGTCCAATTAATAAAACGCGGCTGGGTGTACAGACGGGGTTTTTTTCGGTCGATTTTCCGCGAGATTCGACGCGAATAACGAGCTGCACCGCCGCGAAATATCGGGGAAAACGTCGGAAACTACCCCGTCACGACATCCATCGACACAAGACCGAAGTTCAACAACCCTAATTTCACTCTCAATTAAGCTCGCTGCCAATATCTGCGACGAGCTTTCGTGCAGCTTTATACCAGACAGACCCGTATTACCTGTACACCCTCGCCCTTAATTCTCGCATTAATTTATATCAGATTATTGAAAAATTTTCATATCAGCCGCTCGCATGCACTTTATGCCAAAGGTTTTTCAACTTATAAGAAACTGTACCTACTATGTAATTTATTATAAACCAAACCCGATTTATATTAGAATTTCATGCAAACACCAGCCAAAACACAGCATAATTTCGTTCAGGAACTCCTTGTATGAGAAAATACAGCTTCTCGAAATCCCCTAGCATCAATCCTGCATGCGTCATTCCAGCATGCATACATGCATAAGCGTGTACATTCAGGACGCCGTAAAAATTGAAAATCGCCCGGTTTCCTCGGAAAAATGTCGCTTCGAAATTAGAATGCTAGTCTCCTACAGCTGCTCGTTTTTCGGGATTTACATGCACGTTTCGCGTTGCAGATGGCTCCCGAAGGCGGCGATCAAGTCGATGGAGGGCGACTCGTCGGACTGCGTCCTGGTGGTCGGCGTGTCGAGGCCCAAAATGGCGCTCGCCATCCTCACCATAATGCTCGTCTCGCTCTTCTTCACCTTCCATCTGATCTACGACAGCGCCCTTAACAGCCTCCAGACGAAGAACGTGGAGCGCCAGCGGCCGCCCGTCCTGCTGCTGTCCCGACGCTACTATCCGGCGGCGGCCAGGCGGCTGCCGCAGGCCATCATCATGGGCGTGAGGAAATGCGGCACCAGAGCGCTGCTGGAGATGCTCTACTTGCACCCGATGATCCAAAAGGCCGCCGGCGAGATACACTTCTTCGATAGAGACGACAACTACTTCAAGGGTTTGGAATGGTACCGCATGCAGATGCCGCACTCGTACCCCGGACAGATCACCATCGAGAAGAGCCCCAGCTACTTCGTTACGCCAGAAGTGAGTACCTACAACACGCTATTATTATCTTAATAACGCGGCGATTTGAAGGTCCCCGAACGCATCCGAGCCATGAACGCCAGCATCAAGCTCCTGCTGATCGTCCGCGAGCCCGTCACCAGGGCGATCTCGGACTACACGCAATTGAGAGCGAACGCGGCCACCGCCTCACCGGCCCTTCCGACGCCGCCGCCCAAGTCCTTCGAGCAGCTGGCGCTCTTCTCCAACGGGTCCATCAACGAGGCCTACCGACCGCTTTCGATATCGCTCTACCACAACTACATGCACAGGTCGGTCACTAACTGCGCAGTTTGTACGCTCATAGACTCGTTTACTTAGTGATTATAAATTGTGTACAGGTGGTTGGAGGTGTTTTCGAGAGACCAGCTGCTGATCGTGAACGGGGATCTGCTGATAGAGGACCCGGTGAGCCAGATACAGAAGATCGAGAGGTTCTTGGGGCTGGAGCCGAGGATCGGGACGCATAATTTTTACTTCAACGAAACCAAGGGGTTCTACTGTTTGCGTAACGAGACTTCTGATAGGTAGGATTCGAGTGCGTGTGTTCGTAGGTGAATAATTCGGGGATTTTTATTTGTAGGTGTTTGAAGGAGACCAAGGGCAGGAAGCATCCCAGGGTGGATCCGGAGGTAATATCGAAACTTAGAAAATATTTCGGGGAACATAACCAGAAGTTCTACGAATTGGTCGGCGAGGATCTCGGCTGGCCTGAGGAATAATGTTGATTTATTTGCTAGGTTAGTCGAATTGTTATTTGCGATATAATCCGCCGGTTGTTGATCAAAAATTGTGATCTTAAATTCGAAACCATTCTACCTATTGCCAATAGAATAGAACGAATTTCTAATCAACAACTGAGAGGGAATATTTTTTGTCGTAGAGAGCCGGGGTCTTGGTTCAATGAATATTTAAACAAACAGCACGAATTTAAAATTATTAAAAATTTATAGATGACAACACCACATTTCTGTTAATGTGCCAATAAATAATCCGCTTTAATCCTCCAGTGAATGAAACAACCAAAATAATCTCATATTAATGCATACAATTCTATATTTTTTGTACATCAAATAGTTGCAGTATCGATTCATTCGCTCAAAATGTTTGTATCAAAAAGAAAGGATGCGCTTTTTAAAAATCCATGTTATCTTCCGGATGGAAAAATTCCTCCGAAACGAATGGAATCCTTATCGAATTATGCCGCAAAAACCGGGCGTCTCGTGTCCGCCGCGACGCTACGTTCGGTGATTTATTAACTTTGTCATATAGTAGGAACTTCGTAATAGATTTAACCTCTTTTGTAACTGCAATTTCTCGAAAGTTTCCCGGCAAACTTCCTTATTACGGCCGGGAGCCAAAACGCATCCTGTTCGGCTATCCTCCGGGAGCGTCCCGGAGTGATATCCCGAGAAATTAATTTCCAGTTTAATTGTTTCGTCACCGTCGTGAATACGGATTAATTTTCCATATAATTCATTGATGAAAATTGATTTGGGATTCTGGTATTTATTGGCACATTTTTTGTATGAGTTGTTTAGATATTATTTTAACAGTATTGCTCAAGTGAAAATTAATCGTTGTGCTTGTATTTAAGTGCTTGCTAGGAGTTATTAACGCCTAAAAGTTCAATTAAAACTGTTATTATATTGAGAAGAAATATTTCAGATTGTGACGCCGTCACAGAATTAAAATGAACGCACTATATCCATTAAAATTTTTGGAATTTTTGGCGTTAAAATATCTCTTAGTACAGTGCTAGTTTTTTAACTACAAAACATACACCTAGGTTACGAATCGGCACAAATTAGAGTAAAACAACCTTTGCTGTGATAACATTCACGCATTCAAAAATTCGGGAAATGTGAAACATATCATGAGGCATATCATTATACGAATTATACGCGTTATTAAGGTTAGTTATTTTTCGAGGCGATAACGTTCGTGGGCCCGGTTTTTTAGTTCGATCATATTGATCAGTGCCTTATTTGATTAGTTTACTGGCGTAGTCCACATTGGAGGTAACGATGTGATGGTTTTTCATTCTTCGAGCGAGCATTTTCTTCAAAGATCATGGAGTTTCTTCCGCTATAAGAGAAGCTCGACGAATGAAAAACCAAACAAAACGCTTTATAACGTTTTCGTTAGATTAGTTTAGTTGATTTTAAGGAAAATCGAGCGAGCAATAGTTTATTAGAACACGTGCTGATAAATGAAATTTATTTAAAGATAAATCAAATATCCAATGAAACTAGAACATATCAAGCTGATGCCATATATTGTTAATTTTAGGATAAAATAGGCCATTGTAAGGGTAACTTAATTTATTAATATAGGCAAAAGATTTTTAAAACATAAATGTTGAAGAATAGAAATCAGTCGAAACATGCACTAAAACCGATGATAGTTTAATTCCCTATTATATTTAAGAATTTATGTATACATATCTCAAAAAATCATTGCGTTACAAAACGTGCACTAATGAAATACATATCAAATGATTTGACACATATCAAAATGTGATGAATATATATATTTTTTGTAAATAAACATGTATTTACTCGTGTGAATGGTTAGGCTAATATTTGCTTTCATATTTCATACATTTCTTCCAATTAGTCAAAATATATTAATTACGAATTAAATACTGTTTGTTCGACAATTTGCGATCCGGAAGCCGTAATGGTGACAATACCTATCAATATCCACAACGAATTTGCACGTTAATTAATCGTGCATTATTAATTACCCATTCTGAATAGGTATACATCATTAAAAGGGTTAATAGGGGTTAATAGGGGTACTGGAAGGAGTTGGTATGAGGGAATATCTGGGGAAGTTTTACAAATTTTACACATAAACATGTTATAAAAGAAGTATCGAAAGACTGAAGAATCATATACATATCAAACAAAAGTGCAGGGCAACTTGCAAATTGTTAATTAATTAAATTGACGTATATCAATTTGTCAATTCTAATTTCAGAACAGTTATTTCGTGGTTTTGGAAGTTAATTTGTTGTGAAAGCTCGCGAATTTTCGAACGAAAGTGATATTTTTTTACTTCTACATCCTTGAACTTTCGTCTAAAGTCGAATATATTTTCTATTCTATTAGAATAACCTACTGTACGGATTAAACGGGAAGAGTTTTAGGGATTAAAAATTTCTCATATTGTATAATATCTTCGTCAATTCTGCTGTATTTCCTAAAAAAACATATCCTATAAACTATAATTCTAGTCTATCACGTTTAAATGTTGTAGAATGTGTAGTTATATACCGATTGTTGATTTAAAGTGTTTCTCTAATGAGCTAGGGAATTTGTCTTTTTCGTTGTTGTGACAGTTATACGGTTTTATAGTATCGTTTTCGATGTGGCGAAGTTTTAGATATTTATATTAACAAAGTTTATAGATTACAAGCGACTTCGACAAATGCAATTTATTGTAAAAGAAAAACGGCAAAAAATATTATTATTGTACAGAAGAAACGGTAGATTTAATTCATTCAACCTAATCTTTTCGAAATAATCAAAATTTGCTAAACACTCTGTATAGTATTAAGTCACACTCGAATCTTGTATTAGCGATTATTAATCACTGGATTATAAAAGGCACATTTTTTTTAATTGAGTAGTGCATGTTTATGGTTTTCAAAAATAGATTTTGGGACAATCTGTATTGTACGAATTTGCATTATACAGTATGTCTCATGTATTAGAGGAATGTAATATAACCCCAAGAAAGACTGCGTTATTTTGAAAAAGAGTATTTTTCTATTCGAATTAAATTGCATTTGGAGAGCGAGTTATTACGTTATTTTCAATAAGAATTTTGAATGTCTTAGAAATAACACTGTTAAATAAAAGCACTAAAAATGGGTATATTTAAAACTTTGTTTTTTATACAAATTTAGCAGATAAATGAAGTTTTATATGCCGCCGTCTGCGTACACATTCCATCGACCAGATTAAAAATATACTGCAGATCAGGGAAATTGCAACCGCTATTTCGCGTTAAGTTTTTCACGAATTCAACACTACAATAACGAAATATATAGCAATAATTACCGTCGTTAACGATCCGTTGCGTTTTATTTGCTCTTCAGTATATGAACAAAGCGTAAATCAAATGCAATAATTGTACCTATGTTTGAGATGTTTGTGTGCGCAGGGATGAATTTTTTAAAGATATTTCTATACCTAAAATCCATGTATTTGTGGGTAATATATGTGATGAATGAAATTCAATCTTTGTTTTTTATTTACCAATAAATTAATTAAAAACCTTACCTACTTTGTAGCTATAAAATTGAACATTCTAAAAGCACTGAAAGCTTTAAAGCTTAGTAACATATTTATATTGATTTTTAGAGAGTTGCAGGTTCAAAATCAAAGTAATTTAAATAATAGGATTTTGTGTTAGGTAAAATCTAATTATCTGATCTCAAAAATTTTAATGAACAAAAACTGTTTTTGTTGAAAAATAGTAGATATTTACATAGGTATGTGTATATGTATTTGTTTTTATTTAAATGGTGTGGATTTTGAAATAAAATTCATGTTAAACATTATTAATCTTTATTATTTATCTCTAAACTCGAATTTTAACAGTACAAATCAATCGATCGAAATGAGAAATAAATAAAACGTAAAAAATATAAAGTATACATTATAAAATGGTTTTTACAATTAGTATGATTTTAATTAATAAATACGCTAAAATTACACTTAATTATGCCATTTACAAATTTTCACAATAAAAATAATACAATGTTTTTCTTGTTCATTGGAAAATCGACCAAAAATTTCAATACAAACAGTACTTAAAAAAACTGGTCTATAAGTAATGTAAGTAGAATTGCTAATTTTTATATAACATTTCGACTAAATTTACAAACTAACAGGAACAATTCGTTTAACTATTCAAAGCGTATAATTACGAGTACTTATACAAATACACAGAGATCCTCGTACACAGAACCGATGGGGTTACAGAGGGTTATACTTTACAAATCTAATCACGAATACAAATATTTTTATCACAATTACATTAAATAATTAACGCTTAATTATCTATTTGCTTCCTTGTTTTCATCTTCTCACAACCCTGTTCTGTATCCACCATTATGCTTTAATAATACTAAAACGTATATACAAGAAACCGTTTCGCTAAAAACAATATTAATTTACCAAAAAAAAATCTAATGTTTAAGTTTAAGCGGAGAAATACAATCGTCTTTGGTACAAACGTTATTCGATTGATCAACGAAAAACTTTTTCATTTTCTACACAGAAGCCATTAAAAATAATTCCGTCGCTGCAACAAACTTGCAAGAGATTGCGTGAAATTTACAAATTTCAAATAATACTTTAAATCATATTTACATGCACGAATTACGAACTTCCATTTTGGTAAATACTGAGATTGACTAGTCAAATCGGGCGTCCTTTATCAAATTCCAATACTTAAGTACTCAAATAAAAATAATCGCCGTATCTATTCGTCTAAATTTCGCTACGTATGATCGATTGCAATTTGATAAAATTTAAATACGCCGCCCTAACAAGCACCACGGACAATTAAGTCAACGGAACGCCCATCGGGTTACTTCGCGTTCTATTCAACAATCTATGCGGCAGCTTCTTCAACAGCAGAGCCTCCTGGCTTCGATGGATCTTATGCACTCGGTTGATCCGCCTCTTCGTCCCCTTCAGGTTATCCCGATCGCAGTACGAATGCTTCTGCCAATTGGGCAGGTCCACACCAAGTCTGAAAACCACCAGCAACATTAAAATAAAACATCGAATATTAATGTTAGGAATACTAACTCACCTTTCGCATTCTCTAGCGTACGCCATCAAACTATCACAGTAGCATTTGAAACCCTTGCAATGGTAGACGTCCATCTTGCACGCCTTCAAGTACTTACTGAAATTCAGCTTGGAGTGGCAGGTCCTGAATATGTCGCTGCTCAAGTGCTTGCAGGCGTTCTTCCTCGACGTTTTCACGATCTGCGGCCGGATCTTCTTGGCGCACTCCGTCTTCTTGCCCAAGCACCAGGAGGCGCCGAACGCCAGTATCTCCTTGTCGGACACCACCTTGCCCAGCTTCGTCGTCAGATCGTCCTGCACGTCGAAGTTGAAGTTGCCGCACAGGCCGCACACCTTGCTCTTGAAACGGGCCGGCACCGTCACCTCGGCGAAGCTGCGGAAGTTCCAGAATATCTTGACGCCGTTCTGCAGGACGATCTCGATGGAGTTGTCCTTCTTCTTGTCGGCGCGGAAGCGCCCGTCCACTTTGAACGGCGCCGCTATGACGGACCCGTTGAACTTGATGCGGCCCCTTTGCTGGAGGTTCAGCCGCGCGTTGAGGTACTTCACGGACACTCTTCTCGTCGTCGAGGAGGTGCCGTCCACCAGCACGTTGGCCACTCGCACGAAGAAGGTGTGATTGGCGCAATCGGCCGCTAGCTGGTACTTTCCGATGCCTTTGAAGGTGTAGATTTTGCCGTCGAATGTCTTGTAGTGCGGGTCTCCGAACACCATGCAAGCTCCGTCAACTGAAATTTCATCGAAATCGGGTTAAGAGTACGCACTAGGTGTAAATTCAATAGGTGGACTTACGTTCGACGCAACGTGGACAACATTCGCCTGGTAATTTCTGGAACTTATATCCATAAGCGCAAGTGCTGGAAGAGGAAGTCATGTTGCAGCGGGTGATGGCGCACCGAGTAATTCCCCTTTGGCAAATACATGACTTGCATTCGCCTAGCTTCCATTGTTCGCCATCCTATCTAGCAAAATGCGGGATTATGCAAGTGTGAAAGAAAGAAGATTGGTACTTGCCTGATATAGTTTACTGTCGAAGTAGCAGTCCGATTTGAATTCCTCGGGTAGTTCGCACTTTTTGCAACAACTGCCTGGCGCCGGCTTTTGTAGTTCGGGGGCGCAATCCAGAATGGGGCAGGTGTATCGGCTGCAAATGGAGGTTTCGTTTTTGCAGGTGCAATTCGTGCATTTGTCCATGCTTATTGAGTTGCCCTCTCTGTAAAAAAAATCATAGAATTCGGTGTATTCAATGGATGGTACTCTGTAGTGGATTACCTGGAGTAGATGTTTTGGATTGTGCAACTGTTCGGTGGTGTTAATAGAAACCTCGTGCCTTTGCACCTGGGGCAACATTCTCCCGGAGGGTGGAATTGCCTGACTGGTGTGCATTGCAGGACCGGACAGGCTTTTTTGGCGCACACCATCCTGCCGCCGTTGCATCTGCACTTTAAACAAGGATCGTCTGAAATTACGTCTCTATCGTCGGTGACTATTTGGTCGTTCATTTTACATTCTGCAACAAAAAATACGCTTACGTGACGTGACTCGTCTTCTTCCGGCAGCACCACTCCAATAAGAACTTCACATCCCAGAAAATAAACTAATTTTCTATATAACGGCACTTCTTCCTGGTATGTTTCGTTTGAAAAGGAGCTAAGAACGCAGCAGTAATTTCCAGAAGTGTTGGTAGAAATTATCAGTCAACAAAAAAAAAGAGTTCAGAGTCGGATTGATAGTGTTAGGGATGGCATCGGGCCGAGTCCGTCCCTGCGGTCGGTAGAGTTTTATAACCAAATGAGGTTATTTAACTTGAGCGAATTTACGGCGTACGCTCTCGAGTTTTATAGGCTGAAGGACGTTTTAAATTCACTCTGTTATGTTGGACACCTGCAAAAAGCGCGCCAGCGATCGGAATCCTCGATCAAGACAACTTTTGATCTCTATCTATTATTTGTACCGTTGTCTGAACTGCTACTGGTACTCGCCTGCTCTGTTCAATGGTACCGATCGCTAGAGGATATACAAGAACACGACGAGGTACAGAAACGTTTATGATTTTTTTTAGTACCATTCAATGTTGTGATTTGTGATTGATTGTCAACGGGTATTACACGATATAGGTACTTTTACATTGTAGTACAATTTTTTATTGCAACAACTTTAACGAGTGGAGATGATTATTGCAAGAACAATAAAGAAATACGTGATTTTTAATTAATTGCCGAGCTTACGCTGGAAAATTTCCCAATGAAATGATTTTAACATGGTTATAAAAAATACACATAGAGTACAATAGAGTCCGGATGTAAAGGAGAGCCGGTCCTGCGTCGCAGCGCGTTATTAACCTCGCAATTTGCAGCAATTACTTAATTTTTCTAAATCCAAATACATTGCTTCGGAAATAATTGAATAGTAATTGTGAGCCGGATAATAGACATCATTAAATTTTATACAGAAACGGCTAACGAACAGTTTGTTATGGGAGATTTCTTCGAGATTGCCTGCCGCGGATAACGCTGCATTCTGTTTTTCCTCGAGAACAGTACCCCACTCGCACAATTTCCCCAAAGGGCCATAACAAACCGCTACCATGACGTCATCGAGTACTATTGAGCAATCCTTTTTAGTTTAGTATGCTTGGTAACAATGTGAGTTTCACTTCAATTAACGAGAGATGTCGCTGGAGAATAAATCAACGTTACCAACGTAATTTTTGACAATCCCGGCCAACTTTCCAAATGGGAATTACAGTGTAATGTGCAGCAGATGAACAATTCCAGTGTACTTACCGGGACAAGTGGGGCAACAATTTCCTGGCTCGGGCGGTAGAGGATTCGAGCAGGGCGTGTGGCATCGAAGCTGCGACATAGTGATGATGCCGGCTTCGCATCGCAGGATCGTGCAGGGATCCTTCGGATTTATCCACTCCGAATCGCTGGGATGGTGCGTATTTTCGTATATGCAACCTGCGAAAATTCCGAGTCGTAACGATACCGGTAAACATAGCGAATGCATTAATTACCTTTGCATTTTCTTTTGCAACATTTATCTTCGACGAGCATATAACATCCTTGGATGCTCGGACAGCCATCTGTGCACATCACGTAACCGTTCTGTAACGAAAATAATTGTTAGCGTAAATCTGATTAATCGAGGCTGTTAACTTCGTTTCCTGAAGAGACGTATATCACCCTTAATAATTTAGAAAGTACTTGACCTATTAAAGATGATGCCAAGAGAAACATGAAATCGCGTAAAGACCGCAAGGAGCGAGTGCATTTTATTTGGGCGATTTGTAGCTTTCTAGATGGATTTCTAGCGGAATTTTCTCCTGGTGTGATGTAAACGAAAATTTATTCAAATCGACCGATAAAAAAACCTCTAAAAATAACGAAGTTCGTTTCGTTAAAAAAATTATTTAAATATAAATCTAATGTAGTTATTTAAAAGATCGTCAACTATCGTAAAACATCCAATAAATTTACAATTTTTTTAATTAAATTTCGACCATTAGAAGGTTTTTAAATTTTTTCCAAATGTATTCATAATAAATTTACTGTTGTCTTCTCACATTTAAAAATGTATTTATTCAATCTCCATATTTCTCTAGATATGATAACCGAACGTTATCTTTTTAATAGTTTTTAGTGTTTTTATAGTATTACGTAGCCGTATATAAAATCGTAAATAAAGATTTTTATGCATATGAGAACGACAGACGAGCGCTTTTTATAGGATTGACTCGGGTTTTTTAATTGTCTAATAAAAAAATTAATTAGTACCCCTAGTAGGATCTTCAGCGACACATTTGTCGAAGGTTCCAGGGTGTTGGATTTGTCAAAAATCCGGCCAGAAATTGGCCAGCACGGGCCTGCTTTGTACGATTTATCAAACCAGTGCTAGGGCAGTGGCTTGTAAACTGAGTCCGAGATATACTAGCCTGTGGCAAGGCCTCTCCATAGGCCGTCTTGCCCCAGGTGAAATACTCGACCGCTGTTGCGTCAGTAGCTCGAATTCCACCATTTTTTTTACTTCCATTCCATTTCCATTGTGAAAAATACCGACTTCTTGCACAAAAAATACTAATTGTGCCTTATCAACGCTTTGTGTATAAAGACTGCAGTATATTATTTTACAGGAGAATTTTGGAATAATCGATTCGTTTGAACGTGTATTGTTGATCGTCTAAGATGTGTAAAGGATTATTACAAGGAAAACAAGGATGTAGTAGAAACTCCAAACAGTGGGTTCTAGGTCACTGTACAAAAGAAAAAGAAAGTTTTTTTCGCAAAAATAAATTAAAACCAAATAAACGATGTGCCACCTGATCGTTTTCGAACAAATAAACAACTTACCACATTTGTTTGACTACTGACGGTCGATTTTAACACAAACTAGAGTAAACGGAGGTTATTTATATTCGGCTAGTGGGGCATTTTACTACGAAAAACGAAACGTAGACGTAGCGCAAAGACGGATCTTTTTTTCGCACCGACTAGGTCAAAAATATAAACTCTGCCGGCCAGATGGTCGGGCCGAATAATTCGTTAATTAGACATTGAGACGATCCAGACTTCACGCTCGATAATACCTACACAATTACAGAAATAACAAAAAAATATCACTTTTAAGCCTATAAATTACGCACTCGATTCATGATCGATTTCCTGAAAGGATTTACTCCCATTCGATCTGCTTCCATTCCTTTTTCCTCTAATGACTTCATCTTCGCTTTAATTGGCCGTTTCTGTAACTCGAATCGCCGCGCACAATCTAATGCTAATGAATGATTCATTAATGGCATTAAAGAAATTTTTGCATGCAATTTCGCGTAAATGCGATATCGAACAGCTGTAGGAACGGTCTCGGTTATTTCTCAATTATAATCCTTTTCCTCGCGCTCGCTTTTCGAGCCGCGCTCGAAATGCACCGGTGGGTGGCGTAAATTACGCGTAAACAGGAGGTTTTTTTTAACAAACGAAATCGCGAGGAGAGCGAGGCAGATGAGCGGAGAAGAAGAAGCAGAAGCGAGTAGGTCAACGATGTGCGTGCCGGTGCAACGCGGGCCCGACTCTGCGTGGAAACCGGCGAGCAAAAAAAAAAGTACTCTCGGTGTCTGAAGGTTTTATATGTGTCAGTGCGAAACGTAAATACTTCAACAAATTGTTAATGTTGATTTATTTTGTTTTCAAAAGTCAAGGTAGGTTATGGAAAAAATGCGGTACTGAAATGAGGTAACCAATCCGCACATGGGCGTTCGAAATCTCCACGTACTCTCGCATAACTGTATCACATAAACGAATAAATTAAACGTAAAAATGAGGATTCCTAATGCTGGAACAGAATATCGGAATCAACGTTGTTTTTCTCCGACGAATTAGAGAGTATTATTGCGTTAATTGAGAGGTTTGTGAGCCACTGGATCTACCGAACGACGACCTAAGACCAGACGAATTTTGTATCGGTGATTATTTGCTTTAAAAAAGAGAAATCCTTGGTATTTGATTACACAATATATTGGCCTAAGGATTTTTTGCATCTCCGCCAGGATTTATTATCGACAGATTAAATTATTAATATTTCTTGTCGGCGCTACGATAAACGTGCGGCATCCAACGTGTTAAACCGAGCAGGGTAACACAATACACGTGAAATTTATTTTTTATTTCTATCGAGTACTGGCGATTAGTTTTTAATAAAAGCCATTAAATTTAATTGTTGATTGGACTTACTATACACGGCATCTCTATAGGTAATTATTTCTTTGAAGTAGCATTTTCCGTACATGGATTTAAAAATGTCATAAAATGCCGATTCAATTACGTAATCGTCTTGGTCGGATCGCAATTCAAACGGTTTTCCTAATGCGATGAAAATCGTCAATTACGCGGAAAATCGCATCTCCGTGCGAATACAAAACGAATTTAAATTAACGCTACTAATCCCATTCGACATAAATTTTCCCCATTATTACAAAGTTAATTGTCGAATAAACATCACTGCGAAGTGAAGTTAGGAAATTTGATTGATTTGCTGAATACTAACATCAGTAGAGATACATATAAATCCGAACAATTAATGTGAAATTACGTTTTCGATTTAAAATATTATGAACTACTTTGTAGAGGTAATTTACAACGAGTTCATTACTCGAAATGTTGAGTGAGTGAGTACTTTTCCGTTATACCTACTAAACCCAAGAAAATAGGTTTAAATCCCACATTTTCCACCGGTTGTATACAGGAAATCGAGCGAAAAATCGTTCACCTAAATGCCGCAATAAACAACCTCCATCAAACAGATTATACAATCTGCTAAGTAATAACTAGGATTTAATAAACTATTTATTAGCACTGAAAATAAACTAATAATCCGAACTAATGACTTTTTTTGTCATAACTAAGGATTTTATTGCGGCGTTAAGGCGAGCCCAATGAAAGTTTTATTCGAACACCGAATTTTAAACGATTATAATCGTATTACCCGCATATGTAATATTTCAGTGAAATCGTTAATAATCAAATTTCTTTTTGTATGTATTCAAATTCGATTTATTTCTGTCACAGAACTGCGCAAATACAATCCATATTATAATATTGTTTGAACTATACCAATCATATTTTCTATATTATGTATAGGAATTTTCATTAGGTAACTATACGAATTTCCATCATATACGCCGCTGATGGTGATTAAAAATACAATTAGAAGCTATTTTAGAATGTCGTAGGTTTGATTTCAATTACATAATGTTCTATATAATTATTTGTTTATAAATAAAATAGTATAATTTAGCATTGGAATGCGTCTAATTCGAAGAGGCAGAACTGGAATTAATAAGAAACTAAATGAAAGTTTTTTTTTTTTTCATTTGCTTTAGTATTAGAAAATTGTACAAGAAATATTTTTTGCCGTTCGAAGATACAATGACACGTTAAAATTTATAGCGCAAAAATGTGGAACAGGATTTTCCGAAGGGACGCGGAGGAAATGACGTGTAGCTTTCCCGAAGCGAGCAAAAAATTGATTTTTTACCGGCCTTTCGAAAATTTACAATCGCCTTTTTGCCGGCTTAAGAAATTGATGGGATTCTTGCGAATTGTTTGCGGGCTAAAGGAAAGGCACTTTACAGGAAGAAACGAAACACTTATGTACGTCTTGCTGTTAAGTGGTTTCTAAATGTATGTTACTATTAGAGCTGATTCAATTGAGGAGTTAGTACGAAGTAGAGTAGGATATCATACGTGACCCTTTTAGAGAAAATCCCAATGCTCTGCGTACATCATATATGTTTGTACATTTTTTTACGAAATAGGATAAAAGAATTAAAGTAGAATTCAGTAGAAAGCTTCTGCCTATCTACGTATTTATATTCAATATTTGCGTTATACATAATTACCAAAGCACTTAAAATATAGTTGAAAGAGATAAGCAAGTTGTTTGGAAGATACCCTGTAGGTATAGGAGTGCAATTTTCGAATTTTTTGGTATAGGCACTCTGAATTTAGATGAGAAGTTTCGCAGTAAACTCGTTCTCTCGTTCAGGTAATTTTAAAGGTTGTTTATTTATGTCATTTATTTCGGCTTAAACATAGAACAAATTACCTTTTATTTGTCTTCCAACTCTCGAAAGAGGCACACACAACAGACCTGTCTATATGCCGGCCCTCGAGATATTAAGTAACGGTTAAAGTGACTTTCAATTGTTCGCGTCCTCTTCACCACGCAGCCTATACCTGATAATTCAATATAAATAATCTCCCAGATGGAGGACATAATTCTTCTTCTTCGCATTCTTGGCATTCTTCTCGTATCATCGACGTAATTCTACACTGCTCGCTTCTACAAGACTTATTAATTTTCTCTATACAAATTCTGCAACTGGTTTTTAATCGAGCCGCGCAAGATTGCACTTTGTACTTATTCCAACTGTTCCTCTACCCGACTTTCTTTGCGCGTGATTTGCTCGCGTAGGTTAAGAAAAAAATCCAATAAATATTAATAGGATTTTTCCGTAATGATAAATGTTTCTTTGTTTATGTTTATGTTTATGCATTTATTTTTCAATTAATAATGCGTTCGATTACTCACATTCTATCTATAAAATGAATCATTTTTTAAAGAAATATTAATAATAGTTTTTGTAAACTTGCGTACAATATAATAAGTAAAACTTTTTGAATTAACAATAACAGCATCTGACAATACACGCAATCTCTTCGAAACAAGTATTCTCCATTCGCACCTTTATTTATTTTTAGCAATGCAACATAATAAATGCAAATTATAGGTTATCGTGCTGCAAATGAGGGTTATATTCGAATTGTTTGACTTACCTTACAAACGCACGAGTAGCATTTTTGTTTGTCGATTTGATCTACGGAAATTTTGGCTCCCTCGATCGAGCAGGATTTCCTCGTACCAACTGAAACAGAATAATTAAATTGAAATGGCAATTAAATCGTATGCAATTTAACGTGATGGATGGTTTTTAATAAAAAAAAACTGTAAAAGTTGCTTAAAGAATTTCGCGACTAGTTGAGCAAGCCTTTTAAAAATATAAATTATGTTACTGACCAACCTCCATATTTTTTCCTTAATGCTTCCAAAGTCGTAAATCGGAATTTAGAGATTTAATGTGACGCGTCGATAATTATTTTTAGGCGAAAACTAGTTAAGAAAAATCCGGGCGACAAAAGATTGCCATTAATTACTTAACTGGTGTTCGTATCCGATAATTTCGCGCGTTTACGCCGAAATTAAAACCGGATTAATTTCCAGCGATTAAAAATACATTTTTGCAAAGGCCGTTTTTCACTTTCGCGTGCGGTGTAAACGTGGCCGTTTACGCATTTCAGTTTTTAGCGTAAAAACTTCAAGGAGAGCCAGAAAATTATCTTAACTCATAATTTACAATTTTAAAAGCTTCCATCCATTACCAGAACTGTTTATTATCGAGGCTTTTATTGTTTAACGTATACTTAGTTGCCTTTGTTTCCACTCCATTTCGAAAATCCAATCGTAACTCCTTTTTATTTGAACTCCACCTTTCCGGCTGGTTATCGGGTTTTATGGCTCCCGGGCCAGCTACGTGTTATTGTTTCAATTGCACGCCGAATCGGCCAATTTGGATGAGGTTTATTTCCACTAATTGGTAGGTGTAGAAGAGGATTCGGTTGCGATTCAATTATTTTGATTGATTGTTAAAACCTAAACAGGGTAAGATCTGGGCAACGTGCGGGTCACACCTTCTAAATTGGTATTTTTTAATTACACTATTTATTGTGACATTGATATTTCTTTTACAATTTACAAACTACTCGGGATTTCGAATGATTTCCAATAAATAAACCAGCTGGCCAACACAAATCGTTTTAATAGCGTGTTTATATTTCGCGATTAATTGAGTGTATAATGGTGTAGGTGAGCAGTGAGCACTAGAATAAAGTAAATCGTATACCGCACACAGATTTATTATTATATCTGGGAGAAGAAACGAGCAAAGGATTATCAAAAATACGACGGCGATAAAGAATTTCCCGATTAAAATACCCACAGCGAATATATCAACCGGATTTTCCGGGTTAATTTCCAATTAAATATGCGGCGCCGTTTGCGCCATAAATTCCGCGACTGCGGGGGTCGAAAATAACGCAACCCCATTTGATATTAATGGATTTCTATTTCTCAGACACCAACTTTTAACTCGGTCATTATCGTTTTTCGCGATCCAAAAACAAAAACATTTTATAACAGTGGATTTCTTGAATAACGATAAGAAGAGTACCGAAAATATCCCGAGAAACGGGTGGCTATTTTTAAAGAGCACTTCTGCGGTGCTGAATATTTCCCGCTTCTTCGTCATTAAACTTGGCACCCGATTCGATGACAGGTAGAAAATCCCAGATGACTTGAGGATATTTCCATCGCTCGACGCGGTCTGTGAGAAACGACATTCGAGACCATTTTCGGCTCATTTCGACTAATTTCATAGTGATTTTATTTCTTACAGCTGTCGATGTCGACCGGAATTAGTTCGAGGTGTGTAATTTCTCGAGGGAAATTTTTTTAGTCACCACTTTACGGGCGTACCTACTTAGGATTCCTTATAATTATACGTAATCTTAACGAAAATACGAGAATGTTGGCCGTACTTATTATTAAAGTTGGTAATATTACTTGTCATATACGTCAGTAAACTAATTGGACGGTTTGAGTTCAGTTTAGCTATAGAGTAAATAAAAATCCGAAGCGAACTAGCTGCTTACTTTACAATTTACTCCAGTAAAAGTGCGCTAATAAATAAAAAGCCATCGCGGATAATAACATAACACCAAAAAAGGGCACGCAGGCTGGCTACGCGTAAGGAATAATGTCTTAATGATCTCAATAACAGTTAAAGAACTGTTCGGCGGACATTTTTTTGCGCAGAAAACGCAAAAGATGCAATCTTTATCCGCACAGGGTGACACCTTTGAATTCCTACGACAGCGACTCGTTATGTATTCTTTTTAAACGGACCACAATCGATAATAATTATTCTACGCTCCGATAATTTCACGCTGCGTTGGGCACGACACGCTGAAAATAATACCGGGCGACTTTAAACGATTCGATAAGAAGTTGGCAATGAATGTCAAATATTATGTTGGCAACGCTGTTTCGTCATTCAGTGGCGCCTCCTTCAATTTTCATCAATTCAACTTCTCTGAAACGGACTAATGAATAAGGAATTCTCTCAAATGGATAAGTCCCTAATGGATTGAGTCTCCAGTAGATTTTGCTTAGGTTCATAAATGATTAGCTGAGATATGCAATTGGGTTTTTCTGTGGTTAAAATCGGTCCACCTTGTATAACGCTAAAATGCTATTTGATGGCGATTTAGTGCAAATGCTCAGTGGTGATGGGTGGAAAAGTGCACATGTGGGATGGCCGGTAGATGGATCTCCAGGGGACGTTTATCTCGAGCAACCTGCAAGTAGATTGCAATCTTGGCGATTTTAAGTACGCCTATTTAGAAGTAATGAACTACTAGTATGTGCACGAGATGATTTGTAAAAGAATACCTGACGAAAAACTCGTCGCGTTGGCTCGTTTGTGTTCTTTGCTGAAGACGCGCCGTTTTAATAAAAATATATTTATCCAGTAAGGTATATAATTTTAGTGCTTTGTTCCGGTTTTATAGCAAGCTTTCGGTCGGTGTTTGCTCGGCATTTTTTCTCCCTTTTTGGTTGTTGTAATAATCTTCTTTATACTCCATTCCGGAAGCTTATCATAAAATTACCCTACAGTGTAATAAAGTTAAACAGTATTTTTTAATTGTGAAGAAAAAAAATTGAGAAAGTTCTAATATTTACGCGTGTCGAATCCGGCAAACATTTAACCTCGACACCTAATAAAGTCATTAGGATAAACCTCGTTACTAATCGGTCAAAACGATCCGAATAACTCAATAAATTCCGTCAAATTTACGACCCACTAATAATTTAAGCGTCTTTAAAAGCCGAAATAAAAAAAAATTGAAAAATAAGAAACAACGCCGAATTCCTCCGGTTCTTTCGGCCTCTCGTACTACCTGAATTTTAATGGACGCGCTGACGAAAAAAACCGTTTCGGATTTCTTTGAAAACAAACAACATAAAAAACGGGCATCCATTTACGATGATCTAATTCTAAGATGAAGACCACCGAAAGGTGATCATTAGCCCAAACAGTAAAATCGTTACAACGCATTTCGGCCGCCCCCCAACGAAAACACTACCAAATATTTATTTGAGAAGTTGGTAATAATCGTAAAAATGTGTTGGTAACGCCGATTAGTCATTTCGTGACATTAGTTACTTTATAAATTTATTATTTAGGCCGAAGAACTTCGGTAGATTTTAGATAGATAATTATTCTCCATTCCAATACCAATTTGAATCAAGTCTCAATTAGTTTTAGTCTCTTACTATCATAGGTACATAGAAAATTTGTATGTTACGCTACTGGTGAATATAATCACAAATAAATGATATTATGTAATGACTACATGAGCTTGGAACTAGCATGCAAATGTTTCAGATGGTAATCTTAATAAAATGAAAAATGCGCGCGTTTTTATCAGACATCTATTACTTAGTACGTAAGGTGATCATTTATCTTGTTTCTGTTTGGCCGGACGGCTGGCGTTTTCTCAGAAAAACATCATCACCTGGGAAAGTTTCTCGTTAGGGTGGTTTCCTTACAACTCTGCATTTTTTTATCATATTTCGCATACGCATATTATTTTTTTTATCGAAATTACTTGTATTAAACATAAGTTGTCTACCCGGACGATCTCCAGATAAACTCTAAATACCCTTGTAGGCTAACAAACGGGACCTTGAGCAGTTGATTAACTATACTAACAAACCTTCTAACGCGCCATAAATCTCGCGAAAATCCAACCGGCCAGTTTACCAGAATGCGATTCAGTTCACCTAAATTTTTTACATCATTGTTTCGACCTACAAAATTTTAATAAAATCCTTGTGCAAATTTCTCTTTACAGATGCTTATGAGATAAATATCTCATGACCTAGTCAACAAGTAGCGTATTAATTCATCAACTCCTCAGCAAAAGTCCATTTGCGAACGCAACAAATAAACAAACATAATGTTATTTTCATCCGAGGTTGAGTTATGGGCGAGCTCGCGCAGTGAGCGAGATTTAAGCGAGAATATTGAATTTGTTAATTAACTGGCCTAAGAACATCTATATAGGAGTGGCGCGGTATTATGATGGAGTAACGCGTAGTGACAAGTGGCCAGGAAACACCCGTGTATCCTTCTAATCAATCCTAATTAATAGTGTTTGAAATAAACCTCATGTTCTGTTGCGTCTATTTTTCCTTCGCGGCCTTTCAGTGGGATGTTAAATTATGCCGGAGATCGTTCGATCTATGACGGAAGAATTTTATATACGCATTCGAGAAGATTTATTAACCTCGACGTATTCGCAAAAACCCTTCACTATTCCATCGGGGTTCCATCTTTTTTTTTTTCGCTCGTAGCGTTTGATGACCCGACGTTCCCGTTTCCTTTTTCGCGAAGTTCCGAGATTTGCGGTCCATCCCCATTGTGCATGTAACTAGAATGCAAAGATTAAATCCAATAATTTTAAAATACTCCGGCGTTTCGCCTTTCATATTTCGCCATAGAAAATCCTTTCGGATATATCCATCGTGACTCTTAAAAGTTCGTTCGTAGATCAACCCGTAAGTGTTATTGCGGCAATTCATAAAAATTATGTTATTACAGCACATTCGGATAATGCCAGTAATGGTATTTAATATTTATATCGAGCAGGGCCGGTTCCAGATGGAATTTTATTAGATTTTTCAACGTATAATAATATCGGTATATAGAAGAGATTTATTTAAGAGTTTCCGAACGTATCAATTTAATGATCGATTATCGTTGGTTTGGGGATTGAAAAATGTCCGTGCACACCCTAATTATCAATAAGGCTTTTCAGCGTTGAACAAAAAAGGTCTCATCAGCGAGAATTAAGTGCACAAAAGGACTTAATAACACAGCACGCGCAGTAACAATAGGACAGCGAATGATCCGAAACGTGTAATAAAACTGACAAAATGTAGTTGGTTGGGAAAATAAAAAGGAATGGCCAAATTGGTCATTAGGTAGAAATTTCGTCGGTGGCCCACCCAAGTGCAATGCGCACGGGGATTTTTATGATTTCGCCTCGCTAATAATCTGCATATTTTACCATCCTTTAATACTAATTTTCCGAACGAAGAACGAACCGATGCTAATCAGAGAGATAAAACGACTGGTATATAAATAATTGCGACTAATTATTTTTACACCTTGGAATAGAAACACCTGTGCTCTCCTTTGAAATGCACGTGCTCTTTGACCAACCAACTCTCAACGAAACTTCTCGGTTCTCAGTGAAAGTTTATCCATTCGCCATATCTGCGCGACGTTGTTGCCATCTTATGGCCATTTTTCGCGAAACTCTTGTTAATAATTCGATTATAGCGTGGAAAAACCGGACGGGTAAAAATCGCGAATTTAATCAATTAACCGTTAATTAAAAAGTTTCTAGCTCGTTTGGTAACGATGCGAATTTTATTACAAACAATTCGATTACGTTCGTTGATTATCCACTTAACCACAGAAATAGGTATACAAGGTGTTCCGCATTATTATGTACTTTTTTTCAGTTTTTTTATTGTTATTGTGTAATTGGTTATTACCTTTTATATTTATATCGGATGACTATAAACGAGCGAAACTTTTTATGACATATTGTCTGTAAATTGTGTATTAGTAGTTAAATGATTAGCTTCAAAAATGTAATGTTATGTAGTAGGTATATTTAAGGTGTGAAAATTATTTACAATTATTAAAGATATTAATAAACTTATTAAGCACCAAATTCATATAATTTCTCGAACAGCCCACGTATACCTTTTGTACCTTTAGTAATATAGTCGTTGTGAATCGGACCTCCTGGATTCCGATCCTCAGATGCGAGCTTGGTATTCGAAAAAAAAAACCTCAAATTATACTAATCAGCCAGAACTAACGTCCTTTATTGTGCGGATCCGTTTTCTTTTTCGGCCCGTCCAGACTAAACATGTAGAGTTTGTTTGGGTTTTATATTTTATGTTAATTGGCAAAAGACATTTCGCTTTTTTTATTTCTCGTAGTAACAAACTCACAGGTGGTCGGATTGTTAGCATCATGAGCGTGCTTAATGCTTTCGAACCGGCGAAATCGTATCCTCGGAATCCTCGAAATAGAGCGAAATACGATCCCGGGAGTTTTCTATTAGTTACTTACACTCGCCGAGATTAATCTCGTTTGCTTACCGAACGGTGTTGGCGCGATGAAATTATTATTATTATTATTATTCGAAATTGCTGAATTGGCTTGGAAAATATTTCCGATGGAAATTTTAATTGGTTTCCCAATTAGAAAACCCGTTTGGTGCTCGTAATTTCATTAAATTATTTCTGATTTTTATTTAATAAAGTCATAGTATACTTATAAATTACGAACAATTATTATTTTATGTAAAACTCTTGGGTAATTTAGAAATATTATAGTGTTTTGGTATATTAATTTAAAATTACTTTAAGTTCAGCACTATTTTTTATATTTATAAGGTATAGAGTAAAACTATTAGTATGATCAAGCAGAATATTCCTGCTCTAATCTATGTACACTTAGAATATTACCAGTAATTTATTACTTATTACGTGCCTCTAATACATCTACAAAACGGTAAATTATACTAATAAAAATGATAATATCAAGGCATAATAGAGTGGTTATTTATCAATCGATTTACATAATATATAAGAAAATAAATTTTATTAGTCGGAAATGGACGATTCTAAGATTGCGCATTCGATTGCATATCATTTTCTTGGATAATTATATCAGCGGTGTGTGCAAATAAAATTCAAAGAAAAGTCATTATTTTATTGATTGTCCACTTACGCTTTGTTTGTCATCGGTTATTAAACAACTGAAGAGATTTATTATTGAACGTGGCACAATTTTTACGAGCCTCGTACCGCGTCTATTTGATTTTATTAATGATTAAAATAATTAGTAATAAAAGATACGCATCTGTTGTAACGTTTTAATAGTGCCTCGAATGCATACGTACAATGTTGCTTTACGGTCCCTCAAAGTCTCAAAAGAATTTCAATAAATAATGTATTATTGACCATATGTTAATGCTTAATTAGATTTACAATAAGTCTGAATGGTTACTTAAGAGCGTGGCATTCGCGAATGTTTATTCATTATAATAGAAAATGTTCGCACACCTGGAGTCGAGGACCGTCGGCGATTTTTCACTTAGCTAAAGAACACGGCGAGAATGCAGTTAAAACTATAGGGGGAACGTTTTCTGGTTAACAGATTAGAAAAATTATGACGTGTCGATGGAACTCGAACGATCGGCATCTAAACTACCATTTCGAGATGTTATCTGTTCGCATCGTAAGTATAATGTCTTCGGTTTGACATTAATTGAAATGGATTTTAAGAATAATTCTCGTCGTTATCGGGACCCGAAAAACACGTAATATCCTACTCAGGTATGCATCAAACAACATTGTTTACAGTCATCAAAAATCATTATCTCCGGCCGGGCTGTCCACTTGGCTTTATCTGCCCAACAGCTATACCCGAAACATGCTCCTTATCTCTTTTTTATGCAACTAAATTATTAATTCAAATAGGGACATCGCCTGAAGTTTGCACCATTACAATAAAATTTTAGTACATTTTTTACACACGCCTTAACTAATAAAATGATTAATGTTTGTAGTATTTGCAAGGTTTATTTCTTAAATTATTCCCAATTAGTTGCTACACTAATAATTCTATTATGTCAAAAAAAGTTATTAATCGATAAACTCTCCAGTTTACCACACGCAACGCAATCGGAATTTTAATTAAATTTTTATTCAAAACCGATTGTTCGGGTGCATTGTAATATACCAATCGGCGTTTTCCATTGATCCCTGAACCATGAGAACCCACTAAAACAAACACAAGGTGTGCCCCGGTCAGGTATATTAACAGAAAATTAAATTGTAACCTCCCAGAGTGGTCAGTAAATCATAGAGGTAAATGGGCGGGATGGAGAACCATCGCCGGCCGGGGGTACCCACCTGGGGGACCACCCGGTAAAAAAGGATCCCCCGCTTCTGCGCGTCCATTATCTAATAACGACGGGGACAAACAAAACGAAGAGAATATAAAAATTTTAATCGGCTTCCAAATGCAGATGGAGCCCGTCCGACGCAAACCTGCAGGATCGTTTCCTGCGGATTAATGGATTTCGCGGAAAATAACGAGAGAACGAAAAATTAAGTGCGATTTGATGAAACCGTTAAAATTAAAATATGGCGTGTCTCATAGTGTAAATCTCTTCTTTTATTGGACTATACGCATTAATAAGATTATTGCTTGGTTATAAATATAAAACTGCAGAACCGGATTAAGCAACATTTGCAATCAAAAATACAGTAATTTAACCGAAAGAAATGTAACGATACTACGAGATTAAAATGTTTTTATTTCCTTCTAATTGGTGATACTAGTTTTATTCCGACAATGTTGCAGGCTGTATATGGTTTTAAAAGTACTGTAAATTACGGTTAAATTCTGATGCTGGACGTTTTGGCGTAATAATTTAAACAGTTAAGCAAATATCGCTTGTTAATAATAAAAATATTTGCGTAAAGAGCCGTTTCGATTTCCACGGCAAAAGGAAAAAACAAAAGGACCCGAGCAGGTGTTGTCGAAGAACAAGCGGAGGAATTCGAACGGGGCTGGATGAATAAAAAGAACTGCAATTCATTCTCTCCTGTTAATTATTTTAATGAGACGGATTTATATTCCTGCGGAACCTGATTTTCTGCATTGAATTTATGATACGCACAAAATTCGAATTCATCGGCTACCGAATTCGGCTATCGAACACACCTTTTTAATTATTATGAGTTATTACTCGAATACTAATGTCCTTTTCGGTAATAAAATACTGTTTTTTTGAGTCTATGTATCATTCGAACAAGTCGATAAATATTTATGCATTTTACCTATACTATCAAGTATCTGTTTATATGAATAATGATTAATTGATATTTAAACTCTTATTAAATTCGATTAATTGGAGTGTTACCAACTTACGAAAATATGCAAATTGTAAGTATATGCACGTGTTAAATATCTAAGTGGTAAATAAATAACTCGTAGTAATATTATTTCATCATCATTGATTTGGGAATACGTTAACATTGTTATTATTATTTGCATAAGATAATTAATTAAAAAAAGAACTTACCTAATTGCGTTTTCGTCGAAGATACTAGTAGAAATAGAAACGTTAGTAGAAATATCGTTGGTATTTCTTGTACAGTCATCTTGCTATCTGGAATGAAATTTTCAAATAAATTTTTCGTCATTAACGCATCAAACCAACAGCATAAATAGGTAGATTTTTATTTAATGTAAATTTAATTAAGCGCTGAATTAACGACCAATTTGCTATACAGGTACTTTCGTATTGGAATGTTAACTAAATAAAGCAATTAAAGATGTCCATATAACAATTGTTATTGTTATAAACACCGTAATAAATAGTATTTACAATGCCAATGTAATTACAAGATAAATATATATTTTTGTTAAAAAGCGATAAGGCTAAAATCTTGGGGAATTTTTTGAAATCAAAAATCAGTTGGGTTTTCTCAGATCTACTGACCTTTATTTTGTCTACTATTACGCGATAATATAGAAACGAATGGAGAGCAAAAAAGCCGATAGATATACTCGATTTTTGGCGTTGCACATTACATGCATTTATGAATGTAAACATTATTCATTGATGAACCAATTACGATTTCCTAACAGCCATTAATAAATTCGATTAAACAGTGAAATCTCTTCAATACGCGAGAACCACCGATTCCGGCCGTTTCAAAACATTCTCGACGATAAGTTGACAATAAAATAGTGAAGAGGTCGCGACCCGCCGACCAATCTAATCTAGAAACTTAGTTTTAATTATTTTAGGTCGAGATTCTTTGGTAAACACAATTATACATGTCCGACAAAAAAAACCCGCAGCGCAACGATACCATCCGTTTTTTATACACTTCGGAATTGTTTATTTTATCGTGCTCGCGTGAGTCAGATGACCAGCTGGTGATCCCTCGCTCGCAAACAATCGGTGGCAGTTTTTCGTAATTAACTCGATTAAGAAACTCTCTACATAACGTAATACAGAAGGAGTTACCGCTCAAACTATCGCTTAAACATCTATTCTAGTGTAAGTTTTGGGGTGTGTTAAAGGCCCGCGCGATTACCCGATTTACCTCCGGTTGACTATACAAATTATGGTGTTGGGGCAGATCAAGCAAGGGTCGCAAACCCTTGTAAGTTTGTTTAGCTGTTTCAAACTCGACACAAATTAGGAGACAGGGTAGCAAATGTACCTGGTTAACAAATGATACAACAGTATATCTAATAAATTCGTTTTCGTCAGCAGCACTGTCGATATTCGATCTAAACGTTCCTGACACGCTCGTTCCATTTTCTGATGTTATCTGGTGTGGAATCGAGTCTTATGTAACGCGCGTAATTTCTTCTAGTATCGCTCTTAATCGAACGAACTAGGCGACGGTACTGACATTTCGTCGAAATCGATATTGATTTACGTGTCAATTCGAACGGCCAACGGAATACCGGCGAGAGACATAAACGTTATTATGTATGTATATCGGCACGAGCGAATTATAGTATCTGAATTTCGACACCTGTTGGGTGAAATTTCGCATCGCCGTAACCCAGATGCCGGCGATTGTAATTTATCGGCGGAAAAAATCGGCAATAATAAACGTCAATTTGACAGTTATATAGAAAAATACGCTAATTTCGTCGTGTTTTGTAAGCGCCGCTGAGCGATTTCCATAATCTGTAAATAAAACCAGATCGAACAACAAGGAGTGGTCGCGCTGTGTCTAGTTACGTTATTAATAGCCGTTTTTTACGTATGTGTTTACCGAGTATTTTGCACAGTCCTTACAGCATTTTTCGAAGAAATTGTTCTCGCACAATTACATCAACTAGCGCAGGATTTTAAGTTGCACATAATGATACGAATTTAACACTATTCATTCACCGAACCCGCACAGCAATAAATCTTTAATAATAAACATGATAAATACGCTTATGCACTAATAGTAGGTGCATTTTTACAATTTTTTTACTATACAAAGTTTTATTACTCCACGGGATTTGTAAATTAACTGTAACTTATTAGATTAAGCGTGTAATGTAAAATATTACTCTATTCGCATAAACGTTGACTGTGTGCAATAGATTTGAAACTTTATATATTAAAATGTTGAGCATGTACGAGCGCAATTTAATTTTTTCCTTCTCTCGAATGAGCACTCGGGTAATTAAAACAAAATGATCGCGATGGAAATCTACGCCTCTATCTAAACAAATCCGAGTGAGAATAATAAATAATTGCTGAAAAACCTTCGTCTAATGAATTTTAATGCATATTTAATGTGACAGAAAACTGAAAACTTGTAATTAGAGAACGTATCAAAATGTCGATTTCTAACTAGATAAATTACCATGTAAATGGTACGTTTCAATTAGATGCAATTATAATTTGCGTTTTCTCACCATGCCCATATAATAATGATGTATTCTGTTGGATTTTATCAGTGGTGTTTCGTTCGTATAATTACACAGGGTGCTAATTAAAACTTGTTCTAATTGGTACCCATTATATTAATTCGCGTTATTATCACCCTGTATAGTCGAGATGTGTAATTTTTTCCTAAAATCTCCGTAAAAGCTAGTTCGATTAAATTCGGTAAGAGGAGAAGATAAAGCAGAAATTTCCTAAAATGCAGAAACCGCGCTAAACCCAATTCCTCGTATAAAATATGACGCTCGTCGAATCTCTTTCGGGACGTAAGTACGTAAGCAAAAAATTTCTCTTTGCTCGCTTCCACGACACGTGAACTTTGTATCCGAATAAGAATATATACCTATACAAAAATCTTGCCAACTTGATTTATACTAAAAGCTTAACCAACGATATGTGGAAATTAAACGCAGAACCGGACTCGCCCGGAAGCTCCGGCTAATTAACCCGTCACTGAATCGATTTCTTAACTTTTATTATACCATTGTCACATAACACATTAAATTTGTATTGAATGATAATTTTGTTTAATTACATTGTTCAGTTTGTGTCTATAAAAAAAGGAAGTTTTGTTAACTATATTCTGATGTGATCCTTGAAATGATTTATATTCCTTAGAGCAGCTTTTTTTTGATTATTTGTTGACACTAAAGTATGTCAATTGTCTAAATGTAAATGCGTTGTGGGCGAGGCCGGTGCTGCGTTAAATTCGACTGTTTCCGGGTGTGGCGATACTCGAATATGCCCATCAGGCAAAAATAATAAAAATTACCATAAACATTAGAGTTTCGACGATTTTTTATAGGGAATCCCGTAGTCAAAAATTTCAACTATTCGAGTAGTGAGTGACCTTGCAAATGTTAACCTCACGGAGTCCGGCCACCTGACCGAAGGCTCGATTGTTTATAATAATTATATTTATTGTTTACAGTATAATGAATTCGGATTCGTTTTTTTTTACTCTCTTGTGTTGAATGTTAGGCGCCAGTTCGAGATGAAAAAAAATTGATAAAATCGACGAGATGTTATTAGTTTTGCATTAATTTATTTGTATTGATTTCGCATTTAATTTTGAGAAAAAAATATTATCTATAATGAGTTATTAGAGTCGAAATCGCGTGTGTTTCCAGTGGCTTGCATGAATAAGATAATTTAAAAATAAATTCACCAATTTCTGCTCTATACAGCTCGACAGATATAGCTAGTGATTGGATCGATGCGTGAGAAGAATAAAAATAATCATAATTGGAATGAATGGATTAATTAAGAGTTAAACTCTTAAGAGTTTCAGCTATTCTTGTCGGTCTGTAAGTTCAATTGCGAGACAAATTTTGAGGTCAGTAATATTTGATGTTTTGATTGCTGCATTACACACTTAAAGTAATTAAAATTTATTGTTTTTTATTGGTATGAGTTGAATTATTCGCACGTTTAGCAAAATCGGGTGGATCAAAGACCAGTTGAAGCAAAAGTGAATATCGCGCTGTTCAGCTATTGTTTTTTTTTCACGTTTATAAAGTTATTAATTTAAATATCGAATGGGAATGTTTTATATAATTTCTTGGAGATCGTGATCTCGAAAAGGCAATCGGACAAGTCTTCGGGGCTCTTTCGGAATGTTAAACAGCCAATTAAAAAATATTTTTGATTTATTGACTGGAGATCGTATAATAAGGAAAAACTAATGAAATTAAATATTTAGAAACAGGTTTGTTAGTGTAGAGTAGAGTATCTAAATAGGATCTCGAATAGGATGTAAAATTTGTGTTTGTTTCCATTAGATTTCTAGTCGAATTCCCGGAAAAATAATGAGCCCAGTCATTGATTCGATATTTTCTAGCTCATTTTTATACGTTATATAGGAAATCTGCCAAATTTGCCAAATATGCCTGGGCTAAATCTTGCAGTGTGGGAACAATAGGAAAAAATTTCGCAGTGGAAATTTCATCGCACACACATTCCCTATAAAACGCAATAGATATCGTTCAAGGTTGTCTCACTACTATAAAAAAAGTAGTGAAGAGAATACCTAGGAAGTAAAAAGCACACTATCTTATCCGAGTTTCGACTTCCTGTAAAATAATTTGTAGATAATTAAGTATTGAGCGAACAATACCCGGTCGGTTTGTCGATTTCGTTGTTTACCAAACGAATCGAACCCGGATCGAACCGGTTTCGCCGCTTTCCCAGGATCGGGAAATTTCCCGAAAACCGCGTCGATTTTCCGACGCCGACGCCCGTCGATTCGTAGCGTAATTTCCAGTCATAACAGTCCGATCGAGGTGATTTGATGATTTTTCGATGTTTAACTTCGAGTAAACGCCGGTGATTATTAATTTATTTGAGCCGGCTTTCGTTAGAGGCACCTCCGCGGCGACGAAAGATCGCCCGTAAACGATTGTATACAACCAATCGGCGAATGTTCGGATCAAACCCAGGCAATTTTTTCATTATTTATCCATCTGTAGTTGGTGACAATGTAGAAATGTAGGGGAAACGTTGGTGTTTTTTAAGTTGCCATCCTGATTGGATTTAAATGTAAAAAACTTGGTGCAAATAGGGCTGAATAGCCTAAGTAGCCGATGCCTCAAGACAACGTGGAGGAAGGGAAAAATTGTAGTAAAATGTGTTTTAAAATTACATTAAATAAGTAAGTAATTCATTCAGTGGTCGATTTGTGTTAAGCGCGCGATT